TTCAAAAAATATTACTTTGTTCCTAAACAATGGCACATGATATACTAATATATGACAAATAAGACAAAAATGAAGTTCTCACAGATTTCATAAAAGTTCTGTGCATTGATAGTGACATTGGTGAAACTCTTATTAATAAAGGAGGATTATTGGATGACATCCATACAAGAGATATGTCAGTAGAAACTGGAGCATGGGAATTCTGCTGCACTGAAAGAATTGAAATAAAAAAGAAAGTGTCCTGAGATTGTAATTAATGTTGAAATATTGTTGAACCAGAGAAATTACCAGTAGTTGTTTTGTTCTGACTAGCATGGTCCAGTTCTCATCGTTATAATGTTACCTTCCCTGTGTGACTAGCAGGGGAGGTATTACTCCAGCAATCGCTGTGCAGGGATTCAGAGGAGATATTTCAGTTACTGGTAGATGGTTTGCAATCTAGGGTTGGGAAAAAAAATCTTTTATTCTAGAAACACTCCCCAGTCTGTGTTTCTGCACAGGATTAGTTGATCCTCACAGTTCATCTTTACTCTCCTACTCTCCATATGAAGATTTTAAACACACAGATATCATAGCAGTTCAAATTACATTCTATGATTTTCTAAAGTGAAAAGCATATTAGTTGCTAACTACTGTCCTCAAGCCCCTTCTACAACAGAATTCACTGTTGATGATATTATCCACCCATAAACGTCCTCCGTGATTATTTTATTAAATAATTTCAGAGACCCTGTGGATTTGTCATCAGTTCAGGGATACGACTGAAGTCATAGTGAAGAAATTGTTCATCTCTCTTGTCTATCTTTCCACCACATCTGTTGTTACCCCAGAAGGATGTTTCTGCAGACATCAGCACATCCTCAGATTAATTCTTTACTATCTCTTCTGAAACAAAAGACTGAGATTGAACATACTCACCGTGTTTCCTGTGTGCAAGGTGGTGGGCTCATTGAGAGATCTTGACTGCCAGGATGGAGGGAGGAGAGCAGCTGGACCCTGAGATAAAGGTCTGTGTGACCTCACTTCCCCTCAGGGCATAATTACCACTTCACCTGGAGAGGCATTGGCAGTGCAGGCCTGGGGAGCCCAGGAAATTGCTGAAAAACTCTTCACACTTGCTAAATAATAAGGCAATTATGAGTTCCTTGTTAGTAACTTCAAAATAACTGTTGAAGAGTTTGGGTTGGGCTATTATTATTTTTTTCATGATCCCTGGACACTGACAAGGTCTCCTAAGAAAGTATCAGAAAATAGTGAGGTCTGATCTATGTGGGACTTACAGAGGGTTTGTGTGTCTTACTGGACTCCAGGTTTCCCTGATCTCTTGACCCCTAATCTTACTAATTCTGCCTTCATTCTCCCCTCCTTCTCCATCACAGTCCTCCTTGGGGAGAGGGTCAGACCTGGACTCAGGTCTATTTGGTGCCCCTGTAGCCTCATCTCCAGGTAGGCTGGTGAGTGGGGATGCAGACCACAACCAGGGTGAGTGCCCCTGATTGTGACATCTGATGCTGTCATCATACCATTCCTTGTTGATGGGTGTTTTCACTAGGAAGGCTCTGTCTGAGAGTGGCCAACAAGATGGGTTACATGGAGCATCTGCTGAGTGGCATTAAGTGGGGGCAGAAGAGGGTGGAGACTTAGAAACAGGGAACCTGCCTCCAGCTCTGGGGGGAAGGACCTGGATTTCAGTTCTGAGGCCTGGGGTATGCGGCAGCCTTCTCCCAGGGCATTGTGCACTAGTGTTCATGAAGTCTTGAAGGAGATGGTGCACCTGGAGAGGCTCAAAGATGAGATGCTTAACCAGAGCTGCGTGAAGCACCTGCCCTCCACGGTGCAGCAGCAGCAACATGTGTGGCCCACCTGGAGAAGTCACCTGCCCTTATAAACAGCAGCTGGCGGAGCAGAAGCCAGACGACCCACATACGTGTGTGCAATCCTCAGGGTCAACTCCAGCCTTCATACAGACCAGAGTGAACTACATATGTGGAGTTCCAGGAATGGGTGGACTCTCTGCAGCTGGTCACAGTGACCCAGTTGAGAGGATGATCTGAACACCTGGGCTGTGCTTTGGGCCGTAATCAATCACTCCTTGCTGGAGAGTGTCTGTCCTGCCTCTTTTGTTAATGGGTTCAAAATTTCCAGAGACACACTGAACCCATGGAATATATCTTGTTCTAATTCAGTCCCCAGTACCTCTTTGTCCCTTAAATCAGGCCCTACTATGGGAATGTCACCACATGCATTCCTGGCATGCAAGCAGTTGTTCTGATGTCATGTAAGAACCAGCCTGTGGGTGATGATGTAGTGCAGGAGCCAGGGTTTGCAATGATACCTTGCATGGTGAGGAGGAGATTTAGCAGAACTGGACCAGCTATCACAAAGAGTCATCAGAAAATCCCATTCCTCAGGCAGCTGGGCCTTGAGTCCTCACTGACCTTAATAATCATGCTGAGCTTGAGCCGCTCTACTCTCTGCTCTTCCAGCAATGAAGGGCCCCGAAGCCCTTTGCTCCACCTTTATAAAAATGTTTAATTATTTTTTTAGCTTTAGGTGGACACAATACTTTTATTTTATTTATTTATATAAGTGGTGCTGAGGGTCGAACCCAGGACCTCACATGTGCTAGGTGAGCACTCTACCACTGAGCCATAACCCCAGCCCTGCTCAGCCTTTAAAATGTACTAAAATATTTTAGCAGTATTTCTTCCCCTAATAGATATATTTTCTCAGTCTTGGTGGGGAAGGCACCATCTTTGTATTTTTCTGCCTAGGCTTCCTGGTTCCAGGTGTTTTCAGAAAGCAGGAAGAGATGTACTTTCCTCAGAGGATCAGGATGGAATAAGGAATCTCTAATCACTCCTGTCCTCCAAAACCCAGGCACCAGACCAGGATGCCTGATGATTCTAAGCCTCACTAACAGGCAGCTCTGGGGTCAGACCTCCAGAGGAAATGGTAAGGATGGAACCAAATCCTCAGGAGAAACTAGTGACCCCAGCTGTTGGTGCAGGCTGATAGCCCTTAGGGGAAGACTGGCCTCTGTGCCAAGCACACCCTTTTCCAGCCCACCTTGAATGTGCAGCCTCTTGCTGGTGTCCTTGGGAGGACTTGCTTGCAAACGGGATGTTTTCTGCCAAGTGGGCTAGGAGGGCGCTGAGAAAATTTTTATCTGTTCTTAACAAAGAGCAGAGCTCATCATGCTCTGGGCCAAGAGTAGATTAAGCCATGAGAAGCGGGTCACTTTTGATTGGAAAGTAAGACTTCTGTATGGTATGTTTAACTAGCTGAAAGACCTGATTTATTGCTGTTGGAAGGCTTCCTTCTTTGTTCACAATACTATAAAAAGACTGCTGTATACAATTAAAGGGGCTTCTTTTCTTAAGCTGCTTCAGTTTCTTCTGTTTCTTCTTTCTTGCTCATGCTGACCTGTGAGTGAGTTATTTGCAACAATACATAAATGGTATAATTTCTCATTTTTCTGATTGGACACAGTGTAGAATCCCATCAGTCATGCAGTCATATATGACTTGATGAATTACATTTATTATTTCCATATGATGAATTAACCTTGCAACCCTGGGATAAAACCCCACCTTGATCATGGGACACTATCTTTTAAATATGTTTTTGTATGTGCTTTTCTAGTACTTTATTAAGAATTTTGGCTAGCTGGCATTCACTTATAATCTCA